TGCAAACCTTTGAATTGACTGTGTGTGTGTCTATGATTGCTAACCCTTTAAACTATTTGCATCTGTGATTGCTAATCCTTTAAACTATGCATGTATATGATTGCTAATCATTTAAACTGTGTATGTCTATGATTGCAAATCCTTTGAATAGACTGTGTTATGATTGCTAATCCTTTAAACTTTGTGTCTATGATTGCAAATTCGTTGAGCTTACTGAATGTGCTAATCCTTTGAATTGACTATATTCATGATTGCTAATCCTTTGAATTGACTATGTTTGTGATTGCTAATCCTTTGAATAGACTGTGTTATGATTGCTAATCCTTTGAAATGACTATGCTTATCATTGCTAATCCTTTGAAATTACTATGCTTATCATTGCTAATCCTTTGAATTGACTGTGTCTAATACTATCAACAGTCTATATGTGTCTATGATTAGTAATACTTAGAAATGAATAACTGGTTATGATTTCTAATCTGATAAACTGTCCATGTGTTATGATTGTTTTGAACTGACTATAAGTGTCCATGATTGCTAATCCTTTAAACCAACTATGTGTCTATGATTGCTAATCGTTTAAACCAACTATGTGTGTCTATGATTGCTAATCCTTTCAACCAACTATGTGTGTCTATGATTGCTAATCCTTTAAACCATGTGTGTCTATGATTGCTAATTCTTTAAACCAACTATGTGTCTATGATTGCTAATCCTTTAAACCAAATATGTTTGTCTACAATTGCTAATCCTTTCAACCAACTATGTGTGTCTATGATTGCTAATCCTTTAACCCAACTATGTGTCTATGATTGCTAATCCTTTAAACCATGTGTGTCTATGATTGCTAATTCTTGAAACCAACTATGTGTCAATAATTGCTAATCCTTTAACTAACTATGTGTCTATGATTGCTAATCCTTTAAGCCATGTGTGTCTATGATTGCTAATTCTTTAAACCAACTATGTGTCTATGATTGCTAATCCTTTAAACCAACTATGTGTCTATGATTGCTAATCATTTAAACCATGTGTGTCTATGATTGCTAATCCTTTACAGACATGGTCATTAAGGATTATATGGATTTTTACTGTGGCACTATAATGGCAGTACACACATCTGGTGTATGACATTTTGACATAAAAATTTGTCATGTTTTGTGCATTTCACTATGAAACAATCTGCACTCTGCCTGCAGACTATCTAGTCAGCAAAGTCATCCAAAGTGGTTATAAATACAAGTATGTGACCTTAATATCTGATTTTATGAATGGGCGTTTTATTATATGGATATTCATAGCTGTGTTGAAACATATTTTGCCTAAAAATCATGATCATTGGTTGCATTTAGCAGGTGGTCCCTCATGCCAGTATGTTTAGAATGTAAAATAGTTATAAAATGATTTACATTAGTAAAGATATATAATTCCTGCTATTTAGAAAGAATTGAACATTCATGGCATCGGTGATATCAGATATAATTTTGTATATAATTTCAGCCATAATTTATCTTGTCTAAAGCTAATGTACAATTTCCTTTTCTTCCATTAAGTTCTTAATTTCTTCCTGCCTATCAGCATTTAACATTAGTTCTCACTCTAATTAAGCATTAAAGACTAATCCATCATGTTACTGGATGATTGGAACTATATTCAGGTCATTGTTGCTTACACTATTGAAAGTCAAAAGGACATTTAGATGTGTGTATACATGTCAAATGGAACATCCTCCTTTGAGGCCTTGTCTAGTTGTCATGTTCACAGTGTCAATTTCATTCTTCAAAACCTTGCACATGATCCTGCCAATGACTAACAAGGCACCATTGTTTTCGTTGTCTTATCCAGAGGAATCTGAGGAGTGCTGTTGGTTCAAATTCTTCCCAGACCAGGATGGGTTAGATGGCCTGAGTTCACTCCAATGGCACTAATTAGACTTATTGGTAAAATGCTGGTGTTGATCTCCCTCACCCCTGGCCAATACCCATGGGGGTGTGGGACCTTACAGCAATTCCTGTTACTTAAATTAATATTGCCATTATGTCTCTAATGGTCTATCATACTTTTAAAAGGTTCTCAACCAGAACTACTTTTAAAGACTAATGTGATGAGTTTTAAAGTCAGCATTGCTGTTATATTAATACTGTTCTGCATGAGTGAAGGCATTTTTTTAGTACTGTAATGTTATGAATATTAATGGTGAGGTTGATTCATTGTTAGACATAAAACAGAATGCAGCTGTATCAATTTAAAATTGGCTTTGGAAGTAAGGCCAAAATGTTTATGTATCTTTCATGTTGTGCTGGTTTTAGAATTAGGGTAAATAGGTATTTTATTATTTTAATAAACATTATATAAATTATAATGATTAGTATATATGATGCACCAATAATTTCAAAATACTAATTAAAACTAGCTCTGTTAGATCAGTCAAATAAGTTTTAATTTTTTTAAAAAAGTTTCTTTCTTTTTTTTTTTATAATTTTACCATGGGGAACAAAAGGGCTACAGTCATCATTGAGAAACAGAAGATCAGCTGACTGAAAACACATTTTTGTTTTTGCCAAATGATAAATGTCAATAAATGGCCCACAATTTGGGGTGCAGTCTAAGTAAGAAAGTAATGTGTACTGCAGGTTAAGAATATTGACCTGAAGTTGCTTAAAAGATTTTACATTGAAATAAAATTTTAACTGAACTGTCAGTATTTGGAGTCAATACTATGTGGGACTCCTTGTGTACCCAAACTGCACACATCATCAGATTGCTGAGGCAGGTTCATAATTGGTACAAATAATTTATACAATAATACAAGTGTGTGTGTGTTAATGTGTATGTGTGTGTGTGTGTGCGCATACATATGTGTATGTGTGCATGCATGAGTGTGTGTGTGTGATTTAGATTTTTAACTTAGCTTTAACAATTTTTCAGTCATATCACTACGATGTCTGCAGTGTGGCAGTTTAATGTGATGTCTGGCTCTGGGACATCATGCTGCAGACATGTGGCATGATGCCCCACCCAGTCACATTATCCTGACACCAGGCCAACCAGTCCTCACACTAACCTCTTAATGCTGAGTGCCAAGTGAGGCAGCTGTTAGTACCATTTTTTTAAGTCTTTGTTATGACTTGGCAGGGGTTCTAACCTTCAACCTCCTGCATACAAGTTGGACACTAACCACTAGGCCACCTGAGAGCAGTCAACAAGATATGAAATACCACTGTCCGAGAAGAGCACCTATTATGAAAGATTTTGTAACATTTTACATATATGGATCAACTGAGTTATAGAATGAAATGATCTCAAATGAGAGACTACCTTTCCACATTTTATTAAAAGAAAAGATAGTCTTTCAAGACATTTTGTTTGTCTAAAAGCACTGATGGTATGTTGAATGTTCACACATGTTATTCAATCAACCAGTTGTTGTACTTGCCAAGTTTCCTTCATTTTTGGCGCTGATCAGTCAGTACCTGATGTATCATGTATGCAGTTTAAAATTGTTTTATTTAATTAAATAATAATTAGTGTGATGGAATGGTATGCTAATTAAGAACACAGCTTCCATAACCTTCTGAGGAGCAATCATGTCAATATTTTATAGTGCTGTCAGTTATTTTGCTTTTTTTTTTGTATTGTGTGGTTTCAACAGCACTTTTAACACATTATTTTTGGCAACATCCTGTTGAGAAAAGAGGAGCAACCTAAGTTCCTTTCACAAAAACACATCAAAGTGGCTGTCACCTAGAATTGCTTGGGTTATGAGTTTATTATCCTACTTAAACTGAGCTAACATGGCTCCCAAATGTTGTTAGAGAAAGAAAATGAATTACACATATTCATGCTTACTGAAATCAGTTGTGTATTTATGCTTTGGTTTGATTTGGTCCAGTCATCCATTGCCTGTCTAAGCAGTTTTTTTTAAAACCTCCATTACTTGCAGTCTATCTTAATTTGTCCCAATAATCCTCTGTGTGCCTTTGCATAGTTATTTTAAATTGTCAGCTGATTGCAGTGGGGTTTATCATTAGCTTTTGGTCCTATATCAATTCCAGGAAACTTGTTAGCAAGATTGAACAACAACAAAACCACTCAATATAGGCAGGAATTTGTAGCTAACATTTTTAGATTTTGAGGCAATTATAGCAGTTAATGTTCAGTTGTTTATATATATATATATATATATATATATATATATATATATATATATATATATATATACACACACACACACACTTTTTGAATCTTCATTTGTGTTATAAGTCTACGTAGCATTGTTAAGTAAAAACTGCTCAAGTTAGGCTCATGAAATATGATAGTCGTATCAGTATTCCTGTATAGATGAACTAATGAGACTTTCAGGCCATTGCAGCATTAAATATTGTTTGTAATTTTTGGACTTGGATTGCCACTTTTTGGAAGAAAACCTTTTCAGGGCTATGAAGTAAACAACACTACAGGCTGACAAATGAAATTTTATATGCTTATTTGTATGCATGTGTAAATTAGTTGATGAAATTTTCATAGGACTGTAGTGATATTACAGGTTTATCTAAAGTTTTAATCTTTGGGTCTTGTCCTTTTTAGCAGTATATTTGCAATAAATACATATTTTACAAATACAAATTATCTTTATCACATGACAAATGCAGACTTATTCCCCTTTAATCATTCTCTAATACAATTACAGTTGATGTAAGGTAGGTTGTATTGAACCTTTGTTATTACCATTCAGATGCTTCTTGGTTTCTTGAAATGTGATATCAAAGCCTACTTATACCTTGTTGCTCCATAATGTTGAACAGAATTAATCTGGTGTGGGTCATCAGGTTTAGTGTTCATTCCAGGAATGAACAAAATACATGTGTGGGTGGGGTGGGGTTTAATCTAGCCTTAAAAAAGGTTTACTTACACCACTGTGATGTCTGCAGAACGCCACCTTTTAGTGCTTAGTGCCAAGCAAGGCAGCTGCTAGTATCATTTTTATACGTCTTTGGTATAACTCTGCTGGGGTTTGAACCCACAACCTCTGGCATCCAAGGCAAATGCCTCAGGAGCTAGGCCACCAGAGTGGACCTAAATGAAAACCATGGGTTCTTACCAAATTGGAAAGTGAGGTGATTTATAAAAAAAAAAAAATTATCAAACATAATCTTAACTTGTTTCTTGTTGATTCAAGAAAATTCAAACATATGTCATCATCAGTCTCTACTGCCATGAGCATTTCATGCTTGGATTTGAATTTCTTAGATTTGCTTAATGATTACCCACTAGAGTTTATTTTGGACCTTTCAGTCTAACTTTTTAATTTCCAAGTATGCTAATTTTAAAATAAATACAGCAATGTTTTTGCACAAGATTGCACTTTTGCTTATTTGAATTTTTTGTCAGTGATGATGGTTCCTAAGTGATAAAAATTGTTTGGATTTTCTGTTACTAACTGAAATTGATTATTATTTGCTTCCTTGGCAATGAGTAGACTATTCAGAATGGGGTGCAATCTATTCATTAACTAGGGGGAAAAGGTGATACACTAAGCTAGCTTGGTGTACACTTTAATCAGTTAGTACTTTTGTTGTGGGGCTGAAAGCCATTTTTCAGCACAAGATAGGCTTTACATGGTGGCTAGTAAAATTGATGGAGGAAGAAGCCAGGAAAATGTTGGGAAGAACCATTGACCTATTAGAAGCTTCTGGTAAGCTTCATATATGCTCCCAGGGCATGCAATTATGTAATTCATGTACAAGAACTCCCAAAAATTAATTTCAAATTGCAAATATGAAACTATACTCTGAGAATTATACAATTTTATTCATCTGATGACCCTTAAAGTGCTTATAGAAATGGTATAAATATTGCAGAGTTTGTAATGATGTGTATTTCTTTGTGACTGTTTACACATCTAGTTTCTTTGGACATGAATGATTGTTAAACTTAATCTGATTGGCACATTGGGCCCTATAACAAGCATTGTTTTGAAGGTTGAACTTTGCATCAGGGAAGTTTTACAAATGCAAGTTTATAATATGGGTTATCTTGAAGATCGAGAATGGCCGATTCGCAGTGCTGTTCTTCTTTAGATGACTTAGGGTGGCAAATACTGGCTTAGAGCTGATCATATTAATGAAGGTAATCTATCTTTAAAGATAGCATATCAGATTATAGGATTAGGGAAAGTGTTAATGGAGATACCAGTGAGTTATTTTGAACCAAAAAATGGCATTCAATCTGAATCTCATATATATTTTGGATAGACAAAAATAGACAGCATGTTGGTTGACCCCCTCATTTCATCTGTATTTTGAAATTACATCAAGAAAAGAAGCAGACAAACAGACCAAATTAGAATACAGACATTATAAAAGTAGAGTGCAGTTTTCATCTGTTTTCTTGTCACAATTCAGCCCTGTGGGATCATATGCTTCAAAACTATATTGAACTAACATAAAGAGTATGCGAAATCTAATAAATATGAATCTAAGAATGAAATTTAAAAGTAAAGATTGATCAAAGTACTTCTGTTTGAACAAGTAGTCTATGGCATTTATGGATTTAAAATCCTAATACAGCATAATGGAATAGTAAATCTGACAATATTAATGAGCAGGCTGCTAATTCGTGAAAGTTAAACTTTGGCAGAGCTTATTATGGAAAAATCTTACTTTGGAACAAAATTATCCAAAACACAAAAAGTACAGAGATAAGAAACAAATAAAGCTGATCAAAAAATTAACAGATTAATGTTTATATAACTAGGGCAACATCTTCTAAAGATTTTGATTTTATAGAGGTCTTTACAGAGTAGATCAGGAAGAAAGAGATGGATACTGAAGTGTTATGTAAATATTAAACAATGGTTATTTCCTCTTACCCCTCATATTTTGTTCTACTCCCCTTTTATTTTTGTGGAGGAAATCCTACCTTCTGAAAAAATACTGGGAGCATTTCTGAAGCTTTCCCAAATACACATTTAACCAAGCCCGAGACTCCAACCCAAGTAGACAGAGGTGAGGTGGCATTGATCCAGAAAAATGAGCTTTTTAGACAACATGGTCATTTGGTTCCCCTTTCTATTCTGCAAGCCAGCTTAGGGTGACTTTATTCAGCATACATGCTTGAAATGGACTCTATTCAATAAGCTAGTTTGAAATGAACTCTATTCAATAAGCTAGTTTGAAATGGACTCTATTCAATAATCTAGTTTGAAATGGACTCTATTCAATAAGCTAGTTTGAAATGGACTCTATTCAATAAGCTAGTTTGAAATGGACTCTATTCAATAAGCTAGTTTGAAATGGACTCTATTCAATAAGCTAGTTTAAAATGAACTCTATTCAATAAGCTAGATCGAAATGGATTCTATACAGTAAGCCAGCTTGGAATGGACTGTATTCAGTAAGCCAGCTTGGAATGGATTCTATTCTGTAAGCCAGCTTGGAATGGACTCTATTCAGTAAGCCAGCTTGAAATGGACTCTATTCTTTTCAATAAGCCAGCTTGAAATGGATTCTATTATGTAAGCCAGCTTGGAATAAGTTCTATTCTGTAAGCTAGATTGGAATGGATTCTATTCTGTAAGCCAGCTTGGAATGGACTCTATTCAGTAAGACTGAGCTTGTGAAAAATTGGACTCATTTGAGTCTAAAACCAAGCATAATAATTGTTAATATTTATTTTGCTGACCTTTTGTATGTACCCTAATTGGCTGACATTGAGGCAGCAAATTATTGTGCCATAAACAAGTGGCACAAATAGAATGTAAGCATGTGTTTCTGATTAGTTAAGAATTCTCCAAATTTTTTTGCATTTTGCACTACAACCAGTAAAACTACACTCAAAACCAGTGTCATCTGGAATAACTTTACCTGAAGTGTCTTTTCTATTCAGATATGTTACTTGTGATAAAAATATCTTGCAAGAATAATCTCATTAAAAAAAAAAAAATGTTTGGAGCCAGCAATTTTGATCCCCAAAACTCTAGCAAACTAAGTAGAATCATAGCTGGTATATTAAGTCATAGATAAAAATACACTTTTTGGTTTGTGCTTTGGTGGATTTAATACCATTTTTCAGCATATAATAGTTAATACACATGACAGTCACTATTTTTGATGGAGGAAGAACCTGAGTACCCATGTTGACTGAGCCAAGACTCAAACCTACATGGACAGAAGTAAGATGTCTGTGATTTGTAAAGACAAGTGCCTTAGACCACTCAACCAACTGGGGCCTTAGACCACTTAGCCAACCAGGGCTTTAGACCACTCAGCCAACCAGAGCCTTAGACCACTCAGCCAACTGGGGCCTTAGACCACTCAGCCAGCTGGGTCCTTAGACCACTTAGCCAACCAGGGCCTTAGACCCTCAGCCAACCAGGGCCTTATACCATTCAGCCAACTGGGGTCTTAGACCACCACTCAGCCAACCAGGGCATCAGACCACTTGGATAACCAGGGCCTTATAGACCACTCAGCCAACCAGGGCATCAGACCACTCAGCCAACCAGGACCTTAGACCACCCAGCCAACTGGGCCCTTAATAGAACACTCAGCCAACTGGGCCCATCAGATAAAGATGTAGATGAAATTTGGTTGAAATGAGTGAAGAATGGTGAATTATTTCATAGCATAAAAGAATACTTGATTTTTTAATCCATGAGATGAAATGTATGTTATTCACTTGGAGCAGGAAATTTTCTTTTTATTTTATGCTCAAACATAGTGGCTAGCAAATTGTATAATATATTGAAGTAGCGGGTTTCTTGCTATTAGCTGCATGATAATGTCAGCAGTTTACAATTAATATTCCACTGTGTTCTGCATATATTTGATCCCAAAGTATAAACATTAATAATTCTCCTACTGACTTCAAGCTAAAACAAAAACTATGGAGAAAGACAGCACATGTGCACTGGATTTAAAATCAATCATCTGCATGTGAGGTGGCCTTACTTACCACTAGACTAAGTTAGTGTCTATAATTAGCTCAGATTTCTTGGTCAAAATATTATCAATGCATATTGACAAGGCATTGAAATAAAATTCCCGATTTTTCACTCCAGTGAATTATCAAAATTATTTCTCTTGGAAAATGCAACAATTCATAGCCTAACATAAAATAAATAGGCAGAAATGAGAAATGAAACAATGGGATATAGTACAAAAAATATATTTACCATAGTAATCTAGTACTGAACAGAATAATACGTACATAGTGTTACTGTAATGAAATATTGGGACTTAAATGCCATACAGGACTGAATCCAGCATAAAGTTTTTGATTCAGAAGTTGAGATCCAGGGATCAAGATATTTTGGGAAACAACACTAGACAGTTGCAATTGAAGCAAGCACAATTGAAATTTATTTGCCTGCCTCCCAGTAGCCTAGCTGGGTGATTAAGTAATTATTTCAGTTAGCCAGAGATAATGTGCTTTTATTGTTCCCCTTTGATCTCATTATCCTAACTATATGTGGCTGCCTCTCCTTCTTTACTGCAAATTCGCTCAAGGCTTTTGCCTTCTCTGTATGTATTTTGTTCTGTTGAAGTTGGCAGGGAAGATCCTTGACACAAGATAATACCAATTATGATAATATATTCAAAAGAGCAAGCTGATATCCCATATATCTCCTCCTAAGAACAATGATATTGCAACATAAGTTGTGTGTATACTAAGGCTTGTAGCCTAAAAGGTCAAAGGAATGATTGAAATCTTTATGCTGTTGTGAAGATTCAGACCCCCACCCCTTTTCTGCATTCAAGAAAACCCCCAAATGACCAAATTTTATTATGAATTTTTTTTATAAACTTTCTGAATGATTAATTATCATAATTACACAATGTTATCTTTTTTCATGTCAATGGAAGTTTCGTGTGAATAATTGATGTTGGTAATGGATGCACAGTACTAATAGTATGGAAAAATGGGAACCAGCCTGGATATGGGTGAACATTAAATACTGTATATATATATATATATATATATATATATATATATATATATATATATATATATATATATATATATATATATATATATATATATATATATATGGGTTTGGGTGGCCAGGATT